TTTGTCTTCTCTTCGGACAAACAACCTCAACCTGGCAGGTCGGTGATTGTAGCGATAAGTACTGCCTTGATCGTGATATGTTCCTTTTTGTACTCATCCTAAACATCTCCACTAGTTCATCGATCACTGGTTCTAGAAATACATCAATGTCATTCCCAGATTGTCTTGGCCCTTGGATCAGTAGTGGCATCTGGATGTACGACCGCTTCATAGAGAGCCAAGGTGGAAGGTTGTATATACAGAGCGTCAATGGCCAGGTGCTATGATTGCTTCTAACCTGGTCGAAAGGATTCATCACATCTGTGCTCAAACTAAACCAAAGGTGCCTTACCTCTCCACCGATGTTCTTATAGAACACAGTATTGACTGTCCTCCAGTCCTTCCCATCAGCGGGGTGCCTCATCATTGTATCATTCTTACGCTCTTCGCCATGCCAGCGCAACAGTTTGGCTAACTTTGCACATGCAAACAGCCTATGCATCCGGGGAGCTATAGGAAAATACCAAACAACCTTTAGGGGATCTCCTCTGGTCTTGGTACCCTCATCTGATGGCCCTTACTTGTACCGTGGAGCTTCACACTTGGGGCACGCATACAAGTCTTTGTATTCGTCTCCTCAGTACAATATGCAATCATTGGCACACGCGTGGATTGTTTCAACCTCAAGGCCGATGGGGCAGATCATTTGCTTGGCTAGGTATGTCTTTTCTAGCAACTCATTTTTTTCTAGGAGCATTTTCCTTATCATACCTAACAACTGATCGAAGCCTTTATCGCTCAATCCGTTTGTCGATTTGAACTCTAACAGCATGATGTCAGCTTTCAATTTGCTCATTGGACAATTCTTATACAATGGTGTCTTGCCATCTTGTCTTATTTTCTCTAGCTTTCTCAGCTGTCTTTCACTAAGATATCCGGTCTCTATATTACGTAGCAGCTAAGAAATGACATCGTTATCCTCGATGTCGTCAGCTAGCGTGTTCCTAAAGACATCATTAACTATGGCCATAGGTTCCATGTTGACACCGGGTTCCTCGTCAGCATCATGGATGGCTAAGTCAGGCATGGCCACATCATCATCGTTTTCCTGCGGAACATTCTCACTATGCATAGTCCATATCGTATAGTTTGGCATGAACCCCTGGTAATCAAGTGCATTCGTACAGACTCAATTTGAGCCCATTTCTTTTGATTCATGCAATCTTTGCCTGGGTAGAAGACATGGTTCCCATTCTCAGCATGTGCTTTAACATCGGTGAGAAACTTGCTAAGGCCAACCATGTACCGCTTGTCCGTTCGGGACACATACATCCACTCTCGATCCATTGCTGCACAACAAAATATTGAGACAGTAATTACAGAGAAATTAATAACAAGTGCAGCTTCATGAGCAACATTTTTTTCTTGAAACAACAATTTATTCTACACTTATTTCATTTAGTCATGTCATTTTTGGAAAACATTATTGTACACTAATTATTAAAATATTGAAATTGGTAGCCTCGGCCATATAAATTGAAAATAGTAGCACCACTAAAAAACAATTATTTCATATAAAGAACAATTATTTCACAATAATGAAGAACAATTATTCTACTCCATGCTACATAAAAATGGAGACACTAATTTAAAAAAAGACTAAAATTGGAGACATGACCATGAACAACAATGTAGCTCCAAAAATATGTTGGTAGGTGACACATGGATTAATTTGCTCACCAAAATTATAAAAGAATCCACTCTTCTCTTTTGGATGATTGATTCACCACAATTTGCTTGGAAGCCTTGCACAAAGTCTAATTAGAAAAATGCTCTCTGGAATGGAGAAAGAACTAGAATGGGAATTAAGCAATGTAGCCATCCAAACAACGCTAATTAAGCAACAAAATCAAAGGAGTGGATGCTTGTTACTAACCTTAAAGCAAAAAGATCAAGCCATTCTTCAAAATCCAAGAGCTAGCTTCAAGGTGAAGAGCAGCCGTAACAATGAAAGGAAGGGCCCAACACGCGCCTCTGTGCTCGGGATGGAAGAGAGGAGGAACAGTATTTTTGTACTGTCATTTAATCACTGTCGGTTCTTGGCTCGATCCGACAGTGATAGTACAAAATCACTGTCGATTCTTGGTTAGAACCGGCAGTGATAAGTGGCCGCTAAGTCACTGCCAGTACAAGCCACAAACCGGTAGTGATGTGGTCCTTCACTACCGGTTTTAGCTCAGCTCCAATCATTTTCTCATTTTTCAAGCTTAGAACCGGCAATAAAGGTACATCACTGCCGATTCTCGTAAATCCGACAGTGATGGGGCCGACAGTGATGTCTAAATCTGTAGTAGTGGTATTTAGAAGACAACACTTCATTTTTTCTGTCGACCGACTCTCACGGGGGCAGATAACACATATCTGCCTTGGAATTCTTGTCCATTCCTAAAACACGTCACGCGCCATGGATATCATATCCCATCCCCAAGCACCCAAACCACGAACAAAGAAAGAAAAATAAAAGGAAAACAAAAACGAACGTGTGTTTGTATTCTTTTTATTTTTTTCGCTGTGCTCAATCAATGGTGATTTGATCAATCCTGGCTCTGTTCGCTTGACTGATAAGTCATAGCTGAAAATACTGTTGGCTAATTTGTTGTGAGAGAAAAATATTATTTGTTGACCGAAAAAATATGACTTATAAGCGAAGCGAACAGGGCGCCTGCTCCCAAAGAGTTTTTCATCGTGTTCATCATCTACTTTCGTTGTGCGGTAGTATGCCATGCAACGGAATGGATCGGCAGCGGTAGCAACTTGAGCCACGCGTCGCGTCCAAAGTCCCCATCGCCCAAGCATGTGCTTCGCGGCCAGCTTTTCCTTTTCTCCGTCACTGACACGCGGCCCCAGATCGAATCAGAGCAGTCCTCTGCCTACATCACCGCGTCCATTCGTCCCGCTGGCCGTGGGTCCCAGGTCAGCGTGTGGTCCCACCAGTCTTCGGAGACCCGCAACGCGACGCGCTCGTGACCCGTCATAACCCATCGACACGCGTCCGCGAGCGCGGGGTCCCTCTCCTCCACCGCGGCAACTAGAAACCCCCGAGGGGGACGCAGCTCGCTGCCACGCGGGCCCATGCGTCGGTGAGACGCGCCCGGCCTTATAGCGCCGCTTCTTTCCCCAGGCTTCCTCTGCTTGCAGCCTCGTTCCACCACGAGCCCACTCTTGGCTCTCGCCCACCGCCACCACTCCCCGAAAACCCCACCGTGCACCACCAAACCCTAGCGAGCGAGGCGATCGGCCACCGGCGACCGAGTGCAATGAAGACACCCCCGGCGGCCCGCGACCTGGAGGCGGCCGCTACGGCGGCGGCGGAATAGCAGACCCCCGCGGCGAAGAAGGTGGCAGAGGAGGAGGATCCACGCCTGCGCTGGGCATTCGTGCGGAAGGTCTACGGCATCCTGTCCCTGCAGTTTGCCCTCACGGCGGCGGTCGCGGCCGTTGCCTGCCTCGTGCGCCCCATCCCGCGCTTCTTCACGTACGGACCTTTCGCCGCCGTCTGGCCCACGTTCATCGTCACCCTCGTCTCCCCGCTCATCAGTGCGTGCACGCGCCTCCGTTCCCCCTTCCCTCCTTCCGTTCCTAGGGTTTGGATCATAACCGCCGCGGTTTTGTTCGGTTTGGTTTCGTTGGTTTGTGCAGTCATGTTCCCCATGCTCAAGTACAGGGAGAAGCACCCCAGGAACCTCGTCCTGCTTGCCCTGTTCACGCTCTGCTGCAGCCTCAGTATCGCCGTGTCCGCGTCCACCACTCTCGGTATGGGCAATTGATTCCTCCTCATCTCCCTCTCGTGTCATTGTTTTGTTTCCTGTTGTGATGTGGATGGATGAAATTGGAATGCAGCGTGTGGTGAAATTCTGGTGGTTTTGGGGACCTAGTATATGAGTCATCTGCTTAATTCCGATCTGGTATTTATAGGAGTAGTATGGATACAGTTCTCATGGGCGTGAATTGTCATGGATCTGTGATCCTCCACCGTTCTGGGGAAATCATCATATGTTTGAGATTCTTAAAAGTATTGTTCCCTGTGAGAATTCAGGATATGGTTTTCATGTCATGGCCTCCGGAAGCTTCGATTAGAATTTCCCCTGTTTTAAGTTGCTGGCTGTGTTAGGGGGGTGCTTGGGGTCAACTTTTTGTAGTGGATCCTGTGTCACCACGCCATAATGCACAATCCCTGCATTAGGGGCCTCTTTATGTCTGTGCAAATGGTTTTCCGTTTTATTTATGAACAGTTTCTACAATGTTATATACAGAACTAGGTTTGACGTAACATGCTGAAGGATTTTTTCATAAATTTTGACTGTATGCAACTATGCAAGTTTGATAGAATTGGATTGGATTTTGTTTTGGAAGGCAAAACTGGCACACACACCAATTCACCTTTTTTTGTAGCTATAGAATGAGTTTGAATTATTGTGCAATATTTGAGGAGAATCTGTGATATGGCTTTTTCAAGCAAGTTTTTAACCTTCGCATCTTGTTTTTGAGTATCCGCACACCTTTGCATGCATCAATTTAATATGCCAGCTTTTAGAAATCAGACGTGTTGCCAAGAATAAAGCAATAATTGATATTGTGAAGCCCACGGTTCAGTACAAATCTAAATCAAGTGTTAATCTGACTTTTTAAAGTATGGTGTAATTTATATGTTTATGTATATTTATTTTAAAATATATGTGGTAGAAGTAGAATCTGGTGTTAATTTGGCTTTTGTGTTAATCAACCTTGTTGGCTTTGTGATAGTTTATTTGTTCCTTGTTACTTCATGACTATCTTGAAAAAATGCTTTAATCCTATGTTATATAGTTGCTTTCTGATGAGAACATTGTTATTTATTTCGTTTGTGTGCCTGTTATCAATTGGTATAGGGAGGCTGGCTGGGTCCTTTCTTAAAAAAACTTTGTAATTTCGTTGTTGTTAGTAATGGAATCTGATCCAGTGTTTCTTAATTCTAGTATCTAATGAAATACTACAATGCTGATGTTATGTCAACAGGCACAGTGGTTCTGCAGGCTACCATCCTCACAGCAGCTGCTGTTGTGGGGCTGACCCTGTTCACCTTCTGGGCCGTCAAGACGGGCTACGACTTCAGCTTCACGTTCCCATTCCTGTTCACCAGCCTCCTCGTGCTTCTGGTGTACATCACCATCCAGGTTCGCCCGTCTTCCTTCCTCTTTCTCTCAATAGATCCGTGCTCTCCCGTGTCACACTTGTTTGGCTCACGGTTTACTATTGATCCACTACAGATCTGCTTCCCGCTGGGAAGGGTGGCCATGACCATCTACGGGTTCCTGGCCACCCTGGTGTTCTCGGGCTTCATCGTCTACGACACCCACATGCTGCTCAAGTGCCGCACCTACAACGAGTACGTGGTCGCCGCCATCTCCCTCTACCTGGACGTCATCAGCCTCTTCCTGGCCCAGATGTCGCTCTCCAGCCAGTTATGGTATGATGCTGCTGGATCTGAAACCTTTAATGGAGATCCGAGATTACTCACTATGCTCTGTTGCATCTATACTTGGCCATCGGGCCGGCCCGGCTCGGCACGGCCCGGAGGATGTCGGGCCGCTGCGGGCCTCGTGCCTTGCCATCAGCCCAAGCACGGGCCTGTGGACCTAAATTCGTGCCGTGCCGGCCTGCTAGGCACGGCCATATCACCAGGCCGTGCCAGCCCGAGGCCCGTAGGGTTCAAAACACATCAAAAAATTCATCTCAACAAGAAGTATTCAAATTTGAAGTATTTTTTCCCAGAAGAGCTTCAAACCAAAACCATACACACAGAGAATAAGAGGAAATTAAAAGGATAACTGAGCTGTGTGCAATGCTGCCTCATTAAAACCTTTCTGGGTAAAACTTATCAAAAAATTCATCGATACCGAACAACGTAGCAGCGTCGGCTCGAGTGTCGTCGTCGTTCTCGCCCTCTGGGGCCAGGCCAACCGGCAGGAGGCCATCCTCGTCGGCTATGGCCGCCTCTCCAGCCCCGTTCCTCGACGGTGCGGGTGGCCGCCTTGCTCGCTCTAAGCCGCAGCTAGAAGACGATGCATTGGCTACCGACCTGCGAAACAATGGAAGAAGAAGAAATCAGAAGCATACATTGAAAGAAAAAGAAGAAATTAGAACATGGTTAGGGGTTAGGGTTAGGGTTTCACCTGCGCGGCCGGAGCCCGATGCCGGAGAAGACGACGAGCACCCAGAGTCCAGAGAAGATGACACTCAGTCAGCAACGACGGCGGACGGCGGAGGAGGGACAAACAGAGACAACCAACTCACATAATCAATGAGATCTAGAGGGGAGATAGGGTGAGGGAGAAGGGAGAGGCAGGGACGGAGGGGAGGACGCCGGCAGGAGGCGGATCGTGGTCACCGGAGTCGGCGTCGGAGACGGCGAGGCGTCACTGGCCACTGCGTTTGAGAGCGGCGCGGCGGCTGGTGGTGGTGGGATGCGAATGGGCGAATGGGGAATTGGGGATTAGGGTTAGGTTACGAGCGGGAGTGCGGGAAGTCGGGACTGAGGGGAGGCCGGGAGGGGGGCGCCGCATCGGCCGCCTTTTATAGGTGGGGTCTAGGGTGGCGGCGTGGGGGGAGCCGTTGGCGAGCTGGGCCGCCTCCCTCTCGGGCCGCTGCCGGGCCTCCTCCAAAACCCCGTGCCGGGCCGTGCCAGCCCGCGGGCTCAACTGCCGGCCCAGGCACGGCCTGGCGCTGCGTGCCGGGCTAGCCTGAGCCCGGTGGCCTGCGGGCCGGGGCGTGCTCGTGTTGGGCCAAAAGGCCGGGCTTCGGGCCGGGCTGCCGGGCCTCGGGCTGCATGGCCAGGTATAGTTGCATCTTGCTCTGCATGCAGGGGGTTGTTCCTGCCTCTGCTCTGTTGATTATCGCTTTCATCTAGTTCAAGTCTTCAACGCACTTCAGAGCAGCAGAGGATATAACACGAGTATAGCTGCTTGAATTTATTCCTCTGCTAGAACGTTTTAAGTTTATACACGCTCTAGTAACCCGATGGAAAAAATGGTACTCCCTCCGTACTCAAAAAAGTCGACGTTCTGGGCCTTTGGCCCGTTTTTACAAAGCTTGACGTTGTGCCATGGCAGGGTGAACTTTGGACTGGATTGCCCCTAGCCGACGCCGCCCGTTCGCTTCGATTGCCCGTCCGGCCGTCCGCCCGTCTTCACTCCCCATTAATTGTTGTTCCTTCATCTTCCTCTCCACGCTCAACTCGCTATTAGAGTTCGTTGCTGTTCCTTGCCGCCACGAATGGATCACTCGCGCCGCACGCTCGCCATGACGCTCGCCACACGCTCTCCGGAAGCGCCGCCGCCGCCGCTTCCTTCGCGCTGTCGCTTTCGTCGCGGGCGCTTCGCCGCCGCTTCGCTGCCGCGCGCGCCGCTTCGCCGCCGCGTCGCCGTCGCGTCCTCGTCGGAGTCCGTTGCGGAGGAGGTGCTCGTCGTCGCGGCCTCGTCGGTGTTCGCGGACTCGGATGAGACGTTCGCGGACGTCGAAGAGGTGCCGGACTCCGTCGAGCAGGTCGCGGCCTCCGTCGACATGGTTGCAGACTCAGTCGACATGGTGCCCGACTCCGTCGAGCCTGACTCCGTCGAGTCTCTATGCCCTCGCTGTGGCACGTTCCACGCTGGCGGTGTCTTCGGAGAAGCTTGCTACCAAGCTCGCCGGAACGCACGCAGGTGTGGCCGTTGTGGACTTCTACACGAAGATTACGATATGCCAGTAAAGTGGTTCCATCTAATGGACAAATTCGATTGCGAGTTCTATATTCCTGATGTGGCCAAACTTGAAATGGATGGTACTAGAATCAAGTTGACTGATGACGTTTTGAAGAAGGTGGAAGAGCATATTAAGAAGCAGCAAACAAAGAGCACTAAGGTACAGTACAGCATCTCTCAATTTGGCCATTGCAAACCTAAGATACACTCATCTAATAATTTGCATAAACTTGCATCTTCTAATTTGTTACAGGAAGACTAGCAAGTGATTCGGCTAGCAATGAAGCTTCACAAGGGATTTGCAATGGCAGCCTCTTTTCCCTCTCTAGTGCTTGTTTGTTCATGTGAGGAATCTTGATTTTGTTGCAACCTTTTACCTTCATTGCTTCCTTCAAAACAGTTTGTAGTGTGACAAAGATCCTATTTGCTTTCTTTGGACAGTACTCCAAAAATGCCTACAAAAAACAGATTGTAGTGAGTAGAGTACTTTAGTTGTTCAAGATCAATTTAATCAATCGAATGGATGATCATTTACCTCTTGCACTGCTGGAATTAGATCTTTAATTGTCTTAGCATCTTTCTTGTATTGAATGGCTTGAATAGCTCGAAAAAACCCCAAATCTAGAATGTTAAAATCTGGAGAATTGGGTGGTTGACATATAAGCCTAATGTCAAACCCATCTTGCTTTGCAACCGCACAAAAATGAGGATCATCAACTTTTAAATGAGATGGAGCATTATCTTGTTGAATGAATATTGGCTTGTTGACATCTTCTCTTGGCCACTTTGCTCTAATTGCGGGCAACACTCTATTTATCATGAAATCTCTTATCACATCCCTTGTGATTGATTGAATTGGTTTGATTACTTCCTCTCCACGAAGACGGTTGTGGCTTCCTCTAATAGCTTGTTCAAAATTGACTAGTGGAAAGCAACCTATTTTGCCATCAAACACACATACTCCATTTCTAAATCGTGGCCGAGCACATACACATAAGAACATGATCCTAGGGATGTAGTTCTTGTTCTTGCAAAGGTGGTGTGGTTCATCTTCCTCGGGTAGCAAGTAGTACCTCTCTGATTTTTGAGTGAGGTAGAACCACTTCTCATCAATAAACACAAAGTCAAACAAATCCTTGAACTTTGGATCATCAAGCAAACCTTGATCAATCATGTCAATGCACCACTTCAACCTAGTCTTCTTGTTATCATCAGTGAGGTAAGGTTTGATGCTACTAGAGTGGCGCCTAATGAAACCCCTTTTCAAATACCTTTGTATCCTAGATTTGCTAATACCAAGTTTACTAGACACATCTTCTATGGTCATCCTTTGCTTGAGAGGAATATCCCGCAACTTTTCCAAATCTAGAGGGATTGCTTTGCGGCCACTTCTACCTTTCTTTAGATTAGGAACCACGACCGGAATGTTTTGAGAAAGTTGGTTTTTACCTTGCCTCCATATGCGCTGAACTGATCTAATTTTTACTCCAAATTGGTTAGATACAATTGTTGTATCATGCTTGCCTAGTTTCCCATTTTTGCTTCTCATCAACAATGCTTGATACACTTGTTGTCTAACACGATCAGAATAGTCATTCTTCGGTTGGTGTAGTGGAACGGGAGCATCACCATCTTGTTCTAGCAAAACGAAAAAACAAGCTTTTTAATAGTACAAAGTAGTCACGGCATGATGTAGTTAAAGGAAAAAACCAATCATTTTAATAATGATAACAACAAGCTTATTTACAGTCCAAATTAGTGACGACATGATGTAATTATAGGGAAAAAAACAATCATTTGCATGGGGTGCTGTTCATATAAATGAGAGGACTGTAAATTAGGCACGGCATGACTAGTAAAAAAAACAGCTCCAAATTAGGCACGGCATGACTAGTAAAAAAAACAGCTCCAAATTAGGCACGGCATGACTAGTAAAACAAAAAAACAAAGTGAGAGGACTGTACCAGTGAGGTTTTGTACGTAATCAAAGTCAACAGCTCCAAATTCATCTAATGGTAAGTTCAAATCTATTCCTGTTGAAAAGGAAAGACCACACTTAGAAAGGAAAATAATTTGCATGGGGTGCTGTTCATATAAATGAGAAAGAACAAACTGAGAAAGACACATTACCGTGGTTCTCATCTTCCAAAACTGGCTCGTTGAGATCGATGGGAAGGTTGCCGTCGTCATCTTCTTCCAAACGAACGTTTAGATCAAAGGCAGGGAAAAAAGCACTCATTGCTCGGTTAAGTGGACAGAGAAGATGGCAAGAATAGATGGTTGAGAAAGAAGGAAAGAGAGGCGTTTAAGCAAGCAAGCAAATGGCGTGGAGAAGAGAGAAAGCAAGTTGCCGCATAAATAAGCCAGTGGCGTGGAGTACAGGCAGCTCAAACGTCGGTGCTATCCGAGCGCGCAGGCAACAAACGAAAATGAAACAAGTGCCAAACGAAAATGAAACAATTGCCCCGCGCGCATGCAAGACTGCTGTGTCCGCGCAAGTTTAAAAATGCAGGCGCCGAGCAAAACTGCTGTCCGCCATGGCACACGCAGAGGGCTAACAGTGCCATGCAGCGGACCATCGCCATGCAAAATGAAATGGGCAACAAAAAAGGTGGGGCAGCCGGGATTCGAACCTGGGGCGCAGCAATGCAGGCTCCGCGCACTAGCCAGTTGAGCTGGTTAACTTTCTCGTACAGAGAGCAAGCGCAACCATATTTATTAGGGGCAAAGAAGGAAAACTAACCCCTAATTAATCACTCCTTGATTACCACAATCCTGTCCTAAACGTCAGGTTTTTTTTGGGTACGGAGGGAGTACTCTACGGCTCCTGATGGTCAAGGCTACATATAGGAAATATCAACGCACTTGCTCGCCGCGCGCACGCGCTCGGCGCGATAGCGACACGGAAGGAAGTTCCACCGATTCCGATTCGTCATTTTGGGCCCACTATTTCTGGAGTCCGGTTCCCCTGTCTAGCTTTTTTCTACGTCTATTTAGCTTCTCGAGTCTAGTTATCTTTGTCACGTGACGTCAGCCCATTTTATATTGGACTATTCCTGATTCTCATATCTAGATTTTTTTGTGAGCCACTTTTTTTTTCCCTCTAGCTTATTCTTCTCTTTCGGGATAGCGGGTGTTGGGTAGTGAAAGGGCGGGGGATAGTTTCACTTACATATATAAGTAGAAGTTAAAAGTTAGAACACAAAATGAGAGAAATCAAGTTTGAAAAAAATAGTAGAGAGAAAATGTTTAATTTGTAATCATTGGTTGGAATAAAAAAGTTTTTCCATCGAATGAGCAAACATTGAAATTCAGGAACTTTATATTAGCACATTTAAAACTTTATACTTTAAATTTAAAACTTTATAATTTAAAACATTATTTTCAAAATTCAGAAACTTTATACTCACACATTAAAACTTTGTACTTCAATTAAACTTTGTAATTTCAAACTTTACATTTTAAATTCAGTAACTTTAGACCGACACATTTAAAACTTTGTACTTTAAGATTTAAAGTTTGTAATTCAAAACTTTTTAGATAAGTTTTAGAAACTTTATACTAACACATTTAAAATTGTGTATTTCATGATTTAAAATATTACATTTTAAATTCAGGAACTATATACTAGCACATTTAAACTTTGTACTCTAAGACCTAAAACTTTATAATTTCAAACTTAATTTTTATAATTGAGAAACTTTATACTAGCACATTTAGAACTTTGTATTTCAAGGTTTAAAACTTTGTAATTCCAAACGTTACACTTTAAATTCAGGAACTTTATACTGCCCATTTAAAACCTGTACTTTTAGATTTAAACTTTGTAATTTAAAACTTTATTTTAAAAATCAGGAACTTTATACTAGCATATTTAAAACTTTGTATTTCAAGATTTAAAACTTTAGATTTTAAATTTAGGATCTATATACTAGCACATTTAAACTTGATACTCTAAGACTTAAAACTTTATTTTTCAACTATTTTTAAAAAATTAAGAAACTTTATACTAGCACATTAAAAACTTTGTATTTTAAGGTTCAAAACACTGTAATTTCAAACTTTACATTTTAAATTCAGAAACTTTATACTAGCATATTTAAAATATTATAAACTTTATACTATTAGGTTGAAAACTTTAAGATTTCAAAACTCCACAACTAAATTCATAAACTTTATACTAGCTCTTTTGAAACTTTGTACTAATA